GTGAAAGAACAATTCGGGGAAAGCCTCACTTTGCTGCCCTCAAATGATAACATTAAAGAGTTACAGACGATTTTGCGAGACAAGTAAGTGAGGTTAACCTGTGACTAGCCGTCACATCACACATTGTATTTTCACTTTTCTGGGCATGTGCTGTGTAAATTTATAAAAAAAAAATTTTTCCTGTAATAATCTGTGTATGTACTGTCGTTGTAGATTCTCCTCAGTGAATTCTGTCGGAATTTACCGGTCCATTTTTGACTAAAAACGCGTGTTCCTCAACTTGACATTGGCAAAATCGTTGATTACTTCGATGGGGCCGTAACATTTAAAAGAAGAAGAAGAATTCCGTCACGATCGTATAATACTCATGTCGTACCTAAAACATATTACAAGAGAAAAGCTTGATTAAATTATGTGTATTTGCACCATTCTTATAATGGCTAGGTAGAGAATATTAAAATCAGTTTGCTCTAAGAGATATACAGTTCAATTGGTACATGTTTATTTATTTATACTATAGTTACCTATTCATGATCATTCAAAATTGTTTAAATGAGATATTAGCTGAACACATGGGACAATTGTAGTTTGTAATAGGAAATTAATCTGTCTGATGGTGAAAATAGTGCATTAAATGTTACATTATGTTAAATCATATTATTCACAAAATTTTAAATCAAAACTTCAGGAACACCAGTCGCAGCGATTTCAAATTCTATGCAGACAGACTGATTCGACTTGTCATAGAGGAGAGCTTGAATAAACTGCCATTTACTGATTGTGAGGTGATTTTGTAGTTTAATTAAATTAATATTTGTTTGTATTACTCATTGACTTACAATTATATGGACGTCGGGTCCGCGCTAAAAAGTGTCCGAACTTATAGGGTGTTAAAATCGTATACAGAGCGTCATTCATGCTCTAGTCTTCGTTTGTTCGACTGACAGCGAAGCAAGCAAAATTAGTTCAACGTTTTAGCTTTTTCATATTCCTTTACATGTCACTACGTTTAAATAGGTTGACTTGGGACATTTTTTTTCGTGGTTTTTGTATTAGACCCGTCGTCCATTTATTTGTAAGTCAATGGTATTACTGTTATGTTTCTGTTGAACTAAATTATTACAATACCAGAGACCAAAACTATGTAATGATTGACATTCATTATGTTTCAGTATGGGAAATTAGTACCCACAAATTTAAATTAAGAACTTTAAAAAGTTTGTTTATTGAGATTTTTTGTGAAATAACTCCACTAGTTTTGTTATTATTATGAATGCAAAGATCGAACATACAGAAAAATGTTATCTACACACATATCATAATCCCTCTATAACATGTTCAAAAACCGCAAGTTACAACCAGCATAAAGATAAGCTATTTTGTTAAAACAAATTTCTTATCTGTGAAAATGTCATCATTGCTTAATAATAATGACTCTAAAACTGAACTTCGACTCACGCTACCCTGACAATATGTTACATTGACATGATTTTACTCAGCCATTACACTACTCCGATAATATATCACTTCAACATTTCTTTATTCAGACACTATGCTACTCTGACAACACAGACGAGATGTTTCTTAAAAAAATACTTGTACTCAAATAATCATCATTACAAACCCATGTCCGAGTGGCGTGTGTCAAAGTTCAATTTTAGAGCTTTTATCAAATTCGATTTTCTTATTATATTAAAATTTCGAACATCTATGAAAAACAAAACATTTTGATTCATCCTCAATTCTAATATCCGTCGAGATTAAGTTTTATGCGAAATGAAATCAACAGCAAACGATTTTGACAAATTTCACACGTTACTTGATATCAAACGATATGAATTTGGGGTTTGGGTTGGGGCTGACTCTAGTTTGTCTATGAATTAAAAAAAACTATGGTTTCGTGACATGCGTGTGAAAAGTTTTTATTTGCCACCATTTCACCAGAGTTGTAACATGCGGTTCCTGAACACATTATAGAGAGCTGAACACTATACACATGATATGTGTAGCTGTACATAGTTGGGCTTTAAACACTCGTGTTTTAATGGCTTTCATTATGTAATGGTCACATAAACTACTATTACTAACCCAATTTAAAAAAAAGGAGGAAGTTCTCAATTCATCTGTATGTTTTTTTTGTATGTATGTTACGTGATAACTCCGCCATTTGTGAACCAATTTTGATTATTCTTTTTTTGTTGGAAAGAAGGTACCTCAGATGTGGTCCCATTTAAATTTCAAGAAAATATTCCTCTAAGGGTGGGAAACTAGGGGATGAATGACTTTTGAGGTCGGTTTTTTTAACTGGAGGTTAGGTTATGTATTCATAAGCATAAAAAACTATAATTATTTCACAAAAAATCTCAACCTGTAAAGGTATCGGCTGCGGTGAGAAGTTTATTAAACAATCTCTCACTATATGTCACTAGCGGCGACGAAAGTCAGTACAAAGATCTATAACAAAAACACATAGAAGAATTTCGACGACTCGGTAACTGGATCCATGGCTCAGGTAGTTAGAGCAATGTTAGTGTGCAGCATGGACGTGGGTTCAAATCCCACCAGGTCGATGAAAAATTCTTCTGTGTTTGATCTTTGTAATCATAATAATTTATAAAGTTTGTTGAATTCAACAATTATAAACAATAGACAAGAAAAAAATTTATTAACATAAAATAAAAATTAAAAATGTTTTGTCAATCATTAATTTTATTTAATTAATTTGGTTTTTTAGGTGGTCACACCAACTGGAGCTCTGTACAAAGGCTTGAAATATGGTGCTGGTAACTGTGGAGTGTCCATTGTTCGGTCTGGAGAGGCTATGGAACAAGTTAGTTTAGTTTTTCCCTGCATTAATATATACCACCAAATGATTGTCATTAACTACAGATTTCTTACCACAATATAATTTCTTTTTATTTTCGTAATATTTTGGAACAGTTACATACTCCATGGTCACGGGTTGACTGGCCAGTGGCAGATGATAGCTTACTTTCGCTGTCGACGACTACCCTCATCTCGATTACTTGTGGCGTTACCATTGTCACTCGAATGTTTTCCGACAAACCACACTCACTGTATCCTAACGCGAAATTGAAGTTAAACTATTTTTGTTTTTTATTATTGTAAAGATATATAATTGTAGGCAAATTTCCAAGGGAACGTATTTTGGGTCTATTACGGTCACGACTTGAGATGATGGTACAGAATATGCGCGTTTGCAAGCTATCTAAGATAGTATGTCTGACTCAGTTAATGACGAAGTCTCAAATATGGATATATTTAAAACAGATATGTTCCAGAGAGTATGCGTAGGAACTTTACAATTTAGTTCCTTCTTCGATCTTCTACTAAGTGCTCACTCCATCCTTGTGCCATTAACAACCACCTATCCGAACAAAGCTTTTTCTTTCATCCATTCTTGATACGGAGTACAAGGCCAGCATCTGAAAGTTCAAGTTTAGGGCTATTCGGGGCTTGACCAAATATTAATTTACTGAACAAACGCGTAATATCGTCCGCCTCATTATTGGTTAACCTGAGGTGACATTGTGACCATGCGCCCATCTATTTTACATTATAAATGACATTGCAGGGCCTTCGCGACTGCTGTCGATCAATCCGTATTGGCAAGATCCTCGTGGAAAGCGACACAGACACGCACGAGGCCCATGTTGTTTATGCAAAGTTTCCAGAAGACATTGCCAGGAGGCAAGTTCTCTTGATGTATCCTATCATGTCTACTGGGAATACTGTCAAACAGGTAATGTTGACTATCAATGATTTTTCTTTGTAGTAATTTCGCGAAAGTACTTGTGGTCTTTTCGCAAAATTACTAAATTTTTTTTTTATAATAATAGGGGTTAAAGTATGAAATTGCCGATTTGTACTAAAAATCTAAATTGTTTATTTTTTAAATTTTTAACAAATTTATTTAATCAAAATAGTTGCCATTATTATCTATACATTGCTGCCATCTAAAATGCCTTTGCGATAGAACTCCGACGATCTAGACTGCACAAACTGTGTGAAAGCATTTTGTACTGCCTCCTGGGAAGAAAACTTCTTGTCACGTAGATAATTGTCCAAATCACGAAAAAAATGGTAGTCCGTTGGAGCAAGGTCTGGTGAATACGGAGGATGACGAATGGTTTCTAACTGCAGTTCCTGAAGGGTCAAAATGGTTTCTCGTGCTGTGTGAGGTCTTGCGTTGTCGTGGAGCAATAATGGTGAAGATCGATTCATGAGTCGGGGCTGTTTTACTGCTAGTTTTGTCAACATGGTTCGGAGTTCGGCACAATAGACATCTGCCGTTATTGCTTGACCAGATCGGAGAAAACTATAGTGAATAACACCATGCTGAGACCACCAAACAGTTACCATTACCTTTTTATTGGTAAGTTTTGCTGTTGTGGCATTTGACCTGGGGTCAGCCATTGCATTTTTTTTTCCGGTTATCATAAAGAATCCACTTTTCATCACATGTTACAATTCGATCCAATATTCCTTCATTTCTGTACCGGTTCAACAAGGCAACACTAGTTTCAACACGCGTTTCTTTCTGCAGATCAGTCAAATCATGAGGCACCCATTTTTCGTATTTTTTTATTTTATTGATTTGACGCAAGTGAGTCAATATTGTGGGTAAGGTAACGTATGCCGCTAATTCCTGGGTAGTTTGACTAGGATCGGCTTCCACTATCTCTCTTAATTCATCGTTATTCACCTGTGTGGGCGGTCTTCCTCGTGGCTCGTTCTTTAAGTCGAAATTTCCATCACGAAAGCGTTTAAACCAAAATCGCACGGTGCGTTCATTAGTAGACCCCTCTCCAAATATAATAGAATCCTAATAATTACACGTGTTCATTAAGTATTTATATGGATATAATATTATATTTTTTAATTAATTTACTAACTAGAATAATATTGAATATTTATTTAAAAAATATATTAAAAGCACTTAAAATGTAGTTTGGGCAGATATTTTTAAATAAGGTAACCAAGGTATTGAAATTGTGTGTCCAAGTTTATCGTTACCTAGTTAATAATTAGGTATATTCAGTGAGTCAGAATGGCGGGTGTACCTTAACGGATCCTGACAAATTTGGTATCAAAAAAATGTACCTAAATTTCTCTGTTTGAAAAATTTGTACCTCCATCAGAAATAAGTTATAGCAATATCAAAGGTACACCCGCCGTATTGACAGTAATTATGGCGGGTGTACTTCAGATTACCAGTTTTTATTTAATAACTATAAAAACTTATTATTAAAAAAATTTGAATCTTAATAGTACTCTAAAGTAAAAGAACTCCAACTTGATATGCTGGTTAGTTTCTGAGATATAAAGCTAAAATTGTGCTATTTCAGAGTGTCGTGTGCATATTAACGAATCCTAACAAATTTAGTACCAAAAAAGTGTACATGTAAATATAAAATGCAAAGAATGTAACAGGGCGCTGTCTTTACAAAAACCCGGAGTTGGTAATACGTATGAGTTCGTTGCTTTCAAGGACGAAGGTGGTCTAGTTTATCCCACCAAAGGTGCTATCCAAATGTGCAGAGTAGCTGAGTTAGAAATCCAAGATATAATAATCACGAAAATTTCACACAAGGCCGTCCTTAAGTAAACCTCTTCTGATTAATAAGATTTTACGATATTTTTCATTTTCAATTGTCCTGCCATTCATCAATTTGATCAATCACCAACAGAAAATCATCTAGTAAAATTAATTAAGGCAGCCGTAAGGTCATATATTGACATGCGTTTTCATTATTTAAGTTAATCGGTAAGATATTATAAAAAGTTGTTATATAATAAGTTCGTTTTATTGGAAGGACAATAATTCTAATATTTCAAGTCGATCAAAAATCAGTCTTACATTTTTTAAGTAATCTTTTTTAAAAACAAGTTTTAATAAAGACATAAAACTATCTTATTCTGGTGTTTTTCGGCTGTATTAATATTTCAGGACTACTTGTAATCGACACATACTTGAACAAACGTTACTCTATTTAGAATCGATTAATTTTCACGTTCAATCAATCGGTTTAGAGCGGAAGGAGGTTTCCCATCACTAAATGGTTCTTGTGACGTCATAGTGGGTACAAAAAATGTGGCACGCTTGGTTTTTATACAAATTGCTGTACTTGCGGTGTCTATCTACATATGTCTGTTGTATAGAATAAAGAGTTAAGCACCATCCAATCAAGTTGGCGAAAATGACATTATCTTGCTTAGTTGGTATGGCGTCTGACACGGTATGCTAGAAGACGCCGTTCGAATCCGGCCGGATCGAAATAATTTTTTCTGAGTGTTCGATCTTTGTATTAATAACAATTATAACAAACCAGAGGCGTAATTTCACAAAAAAATTAATTGAATATCAATTCAATAAAAATTTAAAATATAAGGCATTAATCTTTCTTTGAAATTAAATCGAGACAATATTTCCCAATTCCAGGCAGTAAATGTCCTAACACAACACGGTGTAAAAGAAGAACGGATCATCCTATCTAATTTGTTCTGCACACCAGCAGCCGTCCAAGCTGTAGTCGACTACGTACCAAAGATGAAGATATTGACTGCAGAACTACACCCTGTAGCTCCGAACCACTTTGGCATGAAGTACTTTGGAACCGATTGATATGAGTCCTTAGATAAACTCATTTGATAGAAGAGCAGGTTCTCAATTTTCCGACATCTTATCGTTTCTCAAAAAATTGATTGCCATAACATATTGTTTGTCATAACGCTTTTATTTCGAAAAATATGTGGTTATTGTTACTATATATCATAATTAATTACATAGTTTAGGTTATAAACCAATGAAATAATATAGAGAAATAGTCCAGAAGAAAATAGAATTATAAGAAATGCCGTACCTGAAAAGCATTATTATACTGTAAGTGCTATTTTTGTAATTTTACAGGAGACGTGATTTTGTGTCGAAATGCAGCATGTACAACATTCAGAATGGCTTGAAAAAAAAAACTAATTGAGTTTTAATAACATTTCGAGCTACAATAATTGTCATACAAACTGCTTTTCGACATAAAATCGCTTCCCCGTAAAATTACAAAAATGGCGCTTACAGTGTAATGCTCCTCAGGTACGGAATGATGTTATAAGAAAATATGTTATAGGTAAAGTAAATAAACAATTTTATGGTAAAAGATAAAGAATTCAGTTTACTCATACGTACATACACAATGTAATAATGGGCAAGTTAAATGTGCATCCTTGCTATGTTGTATAATTCCACACTTTTCTATAAACACGAATGTTAACGCGCAAAGACAGGCACAATCATTCAATGTTCACAAGTAAAATGTCAACGTTTTTGTTGATTTCTGAATTCATAATGGCGCCCGATCGATCTTTACAATTTTGCTATTGTAAAAAGAAATTGAAATTTTTAAAAATCCCAAAGATGTTAATTTTCTTTTAAAACTAGAAAATATTTCGCACCCCTTATGAAAGAATGGCATAAGTGGAGTTACGTCAAACACGTTTATTGCACCACTAGACTAGACTAACTCTAGCGACTATAATTGTAGATAGAGTTACAAGAATTGGAGAGGATGTGGGTTATATTTTTCTGTATCTAATGGAGCAATAAACATCTTTGACGTAACTCCACTTATGCCATTCTTCCATGAGGGATGCGATATGAGGTGCATTGTAATATTGATTTTATTGTATATCATGTTTTATATCCTAAATATCCTGTATATATAATGTTTTCTATCCTGTTAAAAGTGTTAATAATATGTGCATTTTTTGAAGCTATTTATTTGACTGAAAGTCTGTACAAAATGTTGATCGTTTTATTGTTCCTAATGTTATTAATGAGGATGTCAATCTTTTTAGTTTATAGATGAAATGTGTACTTTGCAATAGTATTACTATGTGAAGAATGTCCCATAAAACTTTTGTTATTCATCAAAAGGTGAGGCTTAGACCGGTTTGATTCCAGTCACAGATCTGCACCACTTTTAAAGGCCGCCGTGCTAAATCAAATGTTAGTGAAGTTTCAATTTATTTCACTAAACCGCTTTAAAAGCCAACCCATTAGAGGAATGGGAAGATTTAAAACTCGTATTCCCAGCATTATATAAACAAGCGCGAATATATCTAAACATTGTCGGTACCTCTGTACCCTGCGAAAGGCTGTTTTCCAAAGTGGGCGCAAACTGCATCTCGAAATCGTCTAAAAGGCAAACATTTAGAAAAACTAATATTTTTAAAAAAATTTAAAAAAGTCCGTTTTTATAACCCGCATTATAAAAACGGACTTTTTTCATAGAATTCTTTCTAAGACATTATCGTATCAATAAAGAATACCAATGCTTTTTACCGTTTTTATTTATTTTATTCTAAATTTTACAAAACACATCGGTAAGAGTAAGTACTTATCGGTACTTACTTACTTTTCAATCGATACTTCGGAGGTATCGTTTCATCGATACCGAGTAAGTACCGATAATGTATCGAGTAAAAGTATCGATACTTCAATGGTATCATTTCATCCCGAAGGACTAAAGAATATGCAGATATTTAAATGCGTGCGCCAGTTTAAGTGGCACTTCAAAAATTAATTTTTAATTGTAAATCAAACATTATTTCTAGTGGTAGTTAACGTTCGGGGCAGTAGTCATATTATGGGGAAAATCTTAACACCGCGATTCAGGAATTGTGCGTAACAGTACAACGTCATCTATTGATAATTTGCGGAACTATGGGTCTAGTAGAATAATGGTCAATTCGCAAAAAGGCTAACAGCGGAAATGGTGCAAACTCGCTAAACGACTAGTTCTGAAAATGGCTAATTTGGAAGACTACTTTTTTACCTCGGCGGGAGGCGGGACATTACAAAAATATCCGGTTTTACCTGTCGTAGACCTATTTTTGCTACTTGCCCCAGAGTAGATCTACTCGGTTAGGTTGAAATAAACCTAAATTTCACGGTAATAAATTTAGGATATTTGGTTTATTTGTTATCTTTGTAAGATCAGTAGAAAAAAAAATTAACACTAGTAACTAAACACCTACATAATTATATGTATAACAGTAATATGCGAATTTTTTATTTATTTATAATCATTTTCATCATGAAACCTTTTATTATACTGTTCATTATTATGATTAATTTTGAATCCTTTACATTAGAAGCTGTAAAAAAATTATTTTTTTGAAAAACTCCTTGACCGTTATGTCGTGCCTGTCTAATTTGTCAATAATACGTTTATATGTTTTGTTAAACATAATCTCTCTGTTCTGTTGTTTTTGCCTCTCAAATAAACTTTTCTTACTCTGTGTATCAAAATGTTTTGATTCCCCTCTTAATTTGTGAATCAAGTGAAATAGGCTAGGACGTTTTGCAATTACAACATTTAGGCGGCAATGCCAACCTTCTAATGCATTGGTGGTCTGGTGGTGCTGACCAGCACAACTTAATCAAGTTTTGATAATTATTTTTTGTTGGATAGAAGTATCTCGTTATTGGTCCCATTTAAATTTGAAGAAAGTATTCGACCTCTAAGGGTGACAAACTAGGGGAGGGCATGAATCCGGTTTCGCGTACTTTCCGGTAACCGATTTCAATAAAACTTGGCAATTCCACGAACTTTTGAGGTCGTTTTTTTTGTATTCTGTACTGAGATTATTTTAGTGCACCCCACTTAGTGATTTTTCCAAAAAACATAAGAAGTTGAATAACTTTTCAACCATAGATTTCCGGACCCCAATGCAGTAGTCAAATAGATTGGAAATACTCAATCCTACTTCCACATTTCGTTTTGATTTGACCATCACTTCCGGACTACCCTGTATACATAATTCAAGTTTCTATACATACAGTATTTTGTGTTTAAATTTTTTTTGATACGTCTCTAGGAAGTATTTTGTATTTGAAATACATGCATGCAAGAAAGTACTTTGCAATTTATATTCTGAGATAATACATATTTTGCTCAGGCCTAGGTGCTTTATTGTCCACGCCGCCTCGGTGTAATAAGGCCACATCTGAAAAATGACCGAGGTTTTAAGATTCTACGAACGAAATTAGTCTTTTTTGATTAAATTAGGGGTGTTAGGTCGCACAATGTGTGCTTAAACGTGAAACCACATAAGTGACATTTTTTACAAAAAAAATACAGCTGGTTAAACTCGTAATTTTTTTATTATTAGGTTTTCCTCCAGAAAGATTCTTTTGTGGACTTATGTGATTTTGCCTTCAAGCAGACGTATACATACCTACATGTTTTGTTTCATGTAGTTATACGAATTTCATGTGATAAAAGCACTTTTGACGTATTTCACGTGTGGTTTTATTATTAAGGATACGACTTAACATACAAATAAATAACAATAGTAATAGTTTTAATTATTTATTTCAGTTTCATAGTTTATACAATCTATGGATATACAAAGATTTTAATTAGATCAGATCACACAGCTAAGCATTTTAAATGTATACACGTATAAATTAAATGTTCAACATTTCTAATAATTTAACTCTTAAACAGTATGTTACCCTCGTTTTGTGTTCCCCGATCTAAAATGGTCATCACGCTATCCCTACAGCGATCTCAAGAACGGCCCACACAATAATATTGAAAATTCTTACTGTCATTTCTCAAACTACATTATCGTTAAAACGTGTCAACATTTGACAGTAATACCAAAATAGTGTCTGGGCCGTTGTCAACAGGTGTTACTCCTATAACAACACTAGAACTAATAATTAGAGTAGCCTGGTCTAAAAAGATGCACTTAATGTGTGAGACGGTGTAAAATGAAAACAAGATGTGTTAGATAATAAACATTTTATTTTGTAGTCTACTAATGTGACTTTTACATAGTGACGCTCAAAGTTACAACCAAGTTATAATTAATAAAATAGTGCAAAATTGGATTTGCGTACTCTTACACTGTACTGTGGTTTTGAGTACGCGTATAAATCGGCAAGAGTACGTAACTCCTTTTTTGATATGATTTCGTTTATAGGTCGCACAAATCACACACAAATTCTCCCAATCTCTCGTATCCAGTTCAAGCTTCACGACACCACAAATGGTAATTATTTATTCATGGAAAACCAAAAGCTTCTTACGTTTAATAAAAACAGGAAAATAAACAAAGCCAATTAGAGTAGTAGTGGTAAAGTAGGTATTGTGAGCATTCAGTCCAATCTTCACGTATATACATAGGCTCTTTGTAAGTCTCTTGGTATGGTATGGAGCTCTATATCTTTTTGGTAATGACATTTTTATCTGGTTTTTGGTCTTATTTTTTGTAATAATTAATTATTATAAAAAAAACAGTGATTCTAGCAACACATCTAGTTGCGTACTCTTACACACTTCACCCATTTCAGAAGAAAATTACTACGAACCCCATGACCAGAGCCGTTGGCAGTTTGACATCTAGACAAGGTTTTTAGCGATTTGGTACAAAGTGAGTTTTCAAAACATGTTTAACTTAGTCGCTGTCATAATTTGAAAACATCAAAAGGTTTTAAGGAAGTATATTCAGACTTGCGCAGTTTTTTAGTTTTCAATAATTTTTAAATATTTTTCCGCACAACAATCTCACACTTCCTGCCACTACTATATGACATTGAATGAAGTTAGTTACGTCTTGTAAACAACTTCACTGCAATCGATATAGTAATGCGTACTCTTATCGGATGCGACTTCGGAGACCAGGCTACCCTACTTGTAAAAATATCGATAAAATTCATTACATTATTGTAACACTTGATACTTATTCGAGAACAAAAATATTAATTATAATCTTTTATTATTAGTAAAAACTAGATGACTTTACTGTCACTTAATTTTAAAAAGTGTTAGGAAGCGACCTACCGATGGTGTATGGCAACACTATAGCTAGAAAATCTCAACTTCTGTGACATGGTCACACCACCGGCTTCCCTCATTAATAAGTGCGTACTCCCGTATATAAATAAATACTTAACATTTAACATATAATTACTTTTGTCAATAGATTTCTTATGACTATGTTACGATTTAGACAATACAAAGCACTAGGGCCCTTCGCTAATTGACGCGATGAAGTGCAAGCTCATTTAATATTAGTTACTATTATTATTAAAGGCAATGACCAATTAATGTGACCTGGTGGTAGTCGCGATGAATGGCAAGCAAGAGTCCCAGTAATAATAGACTTTGCTTTGATTATTAAAGAAAACCTGTTTAGATTGAGCTCACTCGTATCAATTAGCGTTAGGCTCTAAACATACACTCCCTTCATAGAGTAAAAACGTTTGAAGTATATCTTGTCGCATATATTCCTCATAAATACATAAAAAACAAAATGTATACCTTTGATATTGACTTAGATATGTTACTAAGGCATCGTGTGAAACGCTCTAGGTAAATTGACATAATTCTACAGGACTAATACAACAGCCAAAGCGATACAATATGGCAATAGCATATACATACATAATGTAGAAATATTTCAATAAATAATAGGTTTTGTGGATGTGTAAATAGCCTAACTAAAACAGACAAAATATAAACACCTTAAATAAATAAAGAGAGTAGAAGAAAAAGCGAAATTGTTTAAATACTTTACATGTTTTGTGCATCCACTTTCTTTTTTTGTGATTTTTGTTTTTTTTTTTGTATAAAAATATAATCAACAACGCTTTTAAGTAACAAGTAACTAGGGTTGGACCTATGAGAAGTAATTAGTTCTTAAGGTCAGGCAGATCGCCGAGTGAATCCTGCGCATTGAAGCACCAGTCTCTCGCTTTAACGATTAACGGTAGAACCGTATCAACGCTGTACAAGCACAAAAACAAAGTTACAGTCGAATTGATTACCTTAAAATTCTGTATTAGTTGACACTCGTGCTTGCTGGCCTTCGTATTCGAAGACAATTAAGTCAAAATTATATTTGTCTAGATTGTTTTTCGAATATGAAGACTAAATTACCCCTCTTTGCAGACTTATTTAACACATAAATATTTCCGAAAAAGGGACAGCGTTAAAGGCAAATTTGAAATTAGTTAACGATGCCAAGATGTGAAGCAAAGGACAGGTTCTGTGATGTTGTGTGAGTGTATTTACATGAGTTTCTGCTTGGCGCACTCGGGGCAGATGATGTCCTGGCCGTCGGTGATGAAGCCCTTGCCGACCAGGCTGGTCTTGCACTGCGCGCAGATGAAGCAGTCGTTGTGCCAGTGGCGGTCCTCGAACGAGATGAAGCGGGTGCCACCGATGCCTGAAAGATAAATGTATTTTTTTTAAATAAAAACCAAGGTTATTGTTACAACTTAGTGGTGCCATTCTTAATTGAACCGACTTGGATATAAATGTTATTCTTTTACATTGATTTACAATTATATGGACGTCGGGTCCGCGCTAAAAAGTGTCCGAACTTATAGGGCGTTAAAATCGTATACAGAGCGTCATTCACGCTTTAGTCTTCGTTTGTTCGACTGACAGCGAAGCAAGTAAAATTAGACAGTACTGCGATGACATTACAACTTAAATTCAACGTGTTATAATAATAATAACGCTCACACTCAACATAGCCCCGCACTAGGGAAACCCTGTGTCGCGGGTGCCATGGACACACACATAGACAACCACAAATTACACCCAAACTCACGAGAGAAATAAATGTAGGCCATACAAATATTTCTCCCGGCCCGGGAATCGAACCTGGGACCTCTGCGTGGCAGTCCGGCATGGTAACCGTTCGGCCACGGAGGCAGTTAGCTTTTTCATATTCCTTTACATGTCACTAAGTTTAAATAGGTTGACTTGGGACATTTTTTTCGTGGTTTTTGTATTAGACCCGTCCTCCATTTATTTGTAAGTCAATGTTCTTTTACAAGTAAGTAGATGATAGTTCCGTCCATCACCGTGATCACAGCCAGATGCATTGTCTAGAGGACTGTGAATAGAGTTTGTCTCGTCAACCACGAGGATAACTCTCAAGGCGAACTCAGAATTCGCACGGCCGTCACAAGTGTATTTAAATATTTTAATACTTAGATCACATTTTTTTTACTATTCAGGCTTGTTTCATTGCACATCCTGTACATCTACTGATACTCTTTTCAGTCTCATCTTCTAAGGATGGCTTAAACTCAATATTCGTGACCCACTGCTGTTCGATTCAGTATTACTGTAGCTTACCGGTAATGGGCTTGGTGCAAGAAGTGCAGCGCTTAGCGAAGAGCTCTCCGAAGCACTCAGCGCAGTATGGTTTCTCGTCGCGCGATGTGAACCGCTGGCCAGCCAGAGAGGTATTGCAGTTTGTGCAAGTGAAGCATTCGCGGTGCCATGGCTCGTTCTTGTACGTGACGCCGCCTTGCGTGATGATCTGGAATTGAAATGTGAAACATTACGTCACCAAATTCCCCGAGCTCGCCTCAAAAGCTGTAAGTTTCCAGTGCACCACAAAGGCTACACGAGTGACTATCCAACTGTCACTAGATGTGTACCGTGGAAATAGAAAAATCTCCCACCACCGGTTTCATCATCTCTCAAAAACAACTACCACTAGAAATTTGGGTGTTCCGTCTTACAGATAATTCCAATTTCAATTCAGCCAATTCCAATTTTTTCAAGTTTTCTTTTACAGTTAGTGCAGCTCGTATGTGGTATAAATTACCTGCTGGCATCCGTGACAGTTCATCGGTTGCATTATTCAAACGCAAATAAAAGAGCACTTCCTGTTAAACTATATGTGCAATAAATAATTATATATAATTTCGTTAATCTGGTAATAGTGGTCGATGCAATGTTTGAGATCAGATATTGGATAAATTGGTGTGTTGTTATTACATACATATTTCACGCCTTTGGATTCCTCTTGGGTAGGAAGAGGCTATCGATCGACACTTTCGAGAACATTCTCGACTTGACCTGTAAACGGCTTTTATGACCGTCCACTTCCAAAGTTGCATATTTGTGAAATAATTATGGCAAATCTATTGTTTCTACGTTTTCTATAGCCAAAAACGAACTTGACGAAAATGAAGGCTGACACACTCAATACCCTGCAGGATGATTTTAATTAAAATCGGAATGGATGCGATCGGGTAGCCCATCCGAGTCTCGAAATCAGATGGGTTTCCGAGCGCGAAGATGAACCTGATTCCTACTATATCTTTCTAATTTGTGAGTTAAATTAACCACTGTTCCGATTTGAAATGTCAAAGTTTCCGATCGGCCAGTTGTGAACCGCAATTATGCGTTTCGACTCGGAAGAGACGCATTTTCCGGTCGGAAGAGGCAATAAAAATCAAGCTGCTAGTGTCCTCTAGTATAGCACGTGTTCAAAATAGGATACTCATAGTTATATTTTCCCCAGTGATGGGGAAATTCGGGTGCAAATGGTGCAATTATAAATGATGTTGGGAAGCGTTTGTCGTTTGCACTGCGAGAGACGCAGGCCCTTTGGAGACATTGCGAGCGGATTTCAGCATCACCTAAAGACCCTGCGCTCGTGTGCGCCGCACACAATGCACCACAGGTAAAGCCGACACGGCTAACAATAGTGCTAATGATTTTTTGGAGAACTAACCTTGTTGCATTTGACGCAGCGTGTGGCGAACTTGTCTTCATAGCAGCCAGCGCAGTAGATCTCTTGCTCCCTGGGGATAAAGGACTTGGTGCCGATAGGGTTCTTGCACACTACGCAGCAGAAACACTTCTCGTGCCACTGCCGGGTCTTGTATTCCATCTTTTTCGTGCCTGATGGACAAGAAAATTACTTTTATAAATGGATGGTTCAACCAAATATCCTTGAAGATATATCAAGATGTATCTTTAGCGTTGATGATTTTTAATATGATTTTAACGTAACTTATAAAGGAGACATTTATAGCACTAAATATATTTGTTTAAGCTCTACGAAGACTACGACAAACTGTCTTTCTAGAAGTTGCGTTAACGGCCTGGCAACAATATGTCTCTAGCCTGTGATGGAATGTATACCATATGCATTATCTAAACCAAACGTAGCTGCTTCAAAGGCAAATAAAAAAAAAACGCCCCCCGCGTTATGAAATACTTCTATTTTCATGAAAAAGAAACTTTATCTAGCTATCCACTTCTTGATATAAATAAATAAATAATAAATAAATAAATCTTTATTGTTTCTCTCACAAAGTCTTAGTATAAATACAAAAACAGTGCTTAATTATCTAAATAGTACAATATTTAAGTCTGTGTGAGAGACTGGCATCCGTACTAGGAGACCTGTATTACAGATCACCAGCCCCTCCACACTCCGGACCAAAGACAAGTACAGCTTACTTATACTTAGATAGTTACATCAAGAAATGACTTATTAATAGACTTAAGGCGCGAGGGTGTGTGTATGTGTGTGAAGGTGTGTGCGTGCGTGCGTGTGTGTATGTGTATTTGCGTGTGCGTGTGTGTGTTCTGTGTGTGACAGAGAGTGTGATTGACTATGCAAGGTGTATACAAAACCCAACTTACCAAAATAATGAAATAACGATATTAATTTAGTATTACTCATTTTAAGTTGAGATAATTCACAGATTTTAAGATTAATCATAATTTAGATTTTATAATTAACTATTACGTAAAAGTGAGCGTCGGATATTTTTTCTTGTAAAGGGGTCGATAGTCCATAAAAGGTTGGGAACCTATGATCTAAACTAACTAAAATCTGGCCTAGCTGTTAATTAACAGTCGATTTCGTATAAACTATGGCTTTATCTCATTGACCTACCAATACCAACAAATTTATTATTATTATTATTTAGAACAAATACTGCATAGTATTCGTGCAACAGCGTCTAGTCGTTAGCTTATTCCATTCTAGTACTTAGTTTACTAACATTGAATGAAATTGATTAGTTTTGGTCAGTAGCTCAGAGAAGAAATAAATATTGAATGCTATGCGCTCGCAATAAAACGATGTTTCATATAAAATGGTCTTGACGGTTGTTTCTATGATTATAAAAGAAAGATACGATTATGGTATTTGCTTTATCGTTTGTGAAGGATACATTTTAAGAGCTCGAGAAAGAGTTTGTCCAGGGAAATACTGCCACGTTACCTATTTCTGCCGCAAAGCAGTAATGTCAGCATGATTGCGTTCTGGTTTTGAAGCTGGTGAAATTACAGGTACATGGGTCTTGTCAACATACGTCCCAGGGTGACGGGCGCAGTGGCAGTACCCCTCATATCTTTGTGATTTAAAGCTCTGACTGGCACTGCAACTGTTATGGATAGGCGTGTTGCTTAACACCAGGCGCACGACTTGTTCGTCCCGTCTCTTGGTCTCATAAAAAGAGAAGTCGCCCATCTACGGCCCATGACTTTGAATAGAATAGAATAGAATAGAATACATTTATTACAAAACACCACAACACAATAAACAGTAAAAAATTAAAAGTAAAAAAAATTAAAATAAAACAGAACTAAATTAAACTTAAAACAAACTAAATTAAAACAAACAGAAAATGAATAACAAAAAGAAAACTAAATAAAATTAATTAAAAATAAAATCTTGGCAATAAATAATTATTCGACCATAAAGCTGGTCAACACTATTGCTGTACGAAGTAGATGTTATGTGTGCGGCTGTGGCGTATGTAATAGGATCCACTCAGCTAATGTCACCGCCGGGACAAGGCTGTGACGCTGATTTTCAGTGGACCCTAAAACCGAGTGAGTACCGGACGTGTGTGTCGCGTTTAAACTAAAATAAATTACGTATATATTTCTATAATGTAGTATGGTGTGTTCTCTTATATTTATAAAATACTTCAATAATTCATTTGATACATAATATATGCAGTGATAAGCATATGTAATGTAATGTCTATTATTTACAACAAACAAAAATGGGACTTATTTAGTTATAAAAGACATCGATTGCGAGATTTATGTCACGTGGGCGACGCAAGACGAGCGACTTTGACAATGTCGACTGCCGATCTCATATCAGGATGTCCCACGTTTTTGTAGGTACTAGGACTGTATTTCCGCGTTCCGAAGAAAAAAGTCTCAGGCTAAGCTACCAAGTCTTGTCACCTAAATCCGCTAGTATACGTGGACATACCAGGTTTACGTACATATACAATAAAGAAAGTACTTGGCAATCTGTCGGCGTTTGACGTGGAAATGATAAAGAAAAGTTTCTAATTTACATGAAGCTCGATTACAAAAGTAAAATCGAATCTATGGTTCGCAGCTCTAGTAGTCTACGTTGCCATTAAAAAAAAAATAACAAAACAAATAAGTCAGTCAGAAAGTAAAGGTTAAAAAAAACCTATTCACGGTATTGATTTTAAAGATAAATCATTTACCACAAGAAATAAATACGTGAATGGTTTAACTATATAGATTACACCAACACCATTGGGTTTCAAATAATTTACTAATTATTTTTAAACTATAATGTCAAAGTGACATTTTGTACTTAAATGGTAAAAAATAAATACTAAGGAGAAAAGAGAAATTTTGTTTTTGTTTTAATTTACCTATATAATAGATATACCAAAAAAGCGTGTTACAAATTTTCTAGAGCTTTCTAGCTCTAACAAATCGGGCGCTCACCTCAAACAAGTATACCATTACATTCATCGGGCATATTTAGCATGAAAACTTGATGTTTCCGAAGGAACCTGACCGAATCCCCCGTTTTTCGAATAATGTTCGATGTTTATAACGTCGTAAATCGTATTGTTGGCGTGCCGACTATATATCGATATGTTTTTTGTGCCCTTGACGTTTGATGGTTTTGATAGAGTTGTGGATCATGGGTGTTATTCATTGTCCAATCTTCAAAGTACGTATCTAAAGACTTCTAGAAGCATTCGAAGAATTTATCGGTTGTAACAAGGATGTATTTACAGGTGCTACCAGGAAGTTGAAACTTTACTATCAAGTCTTGTTTACTTGCTCCGCTATTTATTTTGTGACAACCTTTTGTTTATAATTAAAACATGATCTAGACCACAAACGCCATTGGTTGACAATAACAAGAATGCTGTCAGTACTAACCGGCCGTTGCCTGCACGCAACAATAAACTTTAAGGTGGTAACGCGTCAAACTTTATTGATAGTACGTAGGTGTGTACAATATTATGCCAATGTGATTTTTATTGTGTTTCTATATTTAAAATAAAAAAATAAATCATTACATAATTATTGATATCGTTGTAGAATAACTAGATAAGACATTATAAATATGTTACAGGTATTATGAAGTTTTAGGTAAAAGTTGGTACAGTTTGCGGAATATTACTTAGACCGATCCGACTTACTTTTAGAGAAGAAAAGAAATATAACAAAAGATTTATTCTATTCTTATTTTCTCTCGTTAAGGCATGTGCCATCTGTGTAAACTCTGTACGCAGCCAGAAAGATTACAACTAACATATGAAATTAAAATTTACAATATTGTGCAACAATATTTTTTAAAGTACGAGTTTACGACCCTATCGAAGAAACCCTATCGAAACTGGCTGATTGATACTATTCATCTGCCTCAATAATATTTCGTAAACGGTAGTATGTTTTTTCGCAAAATGCTAAAGAAACCTACACCCGGCTCTGCACAAAGGTAGTTTTATTGCTGGCATTGAAATTTGTGATATTAGAAAGAAGCACGCGAGTCGATGCAACCAAAATAGGATCAAATTTGAATGCAATCGCGTAAACGCTTTGCAAAGGTCATCGGCTATTGATTCGAAAACAAGGGAGAAAGTTGGAATTTGAATAAAACGTGCAGTATTCCTTCGCCACAGTCTTTTATATAGTTGTTGAATAACTTAGAAAAGGCAAAAGAAACTCCGTTTGTTAAAATCCACATCAAGACGAAACAAAAAACTATCTAATATTTATTAGTGACAATTATTACGATATGTTTGTATCAGAAACACATAAAATGTCAATGTCAAAAGAAAAGTCACAAACCAGAAATCCACCGGTCAAATTCTAAGTAGGTAATAAATGCGTGTCTTCCCTAACTTGACGTAGGCGGAATCTTCGATTGTATCCCCTTCGTCCATTTGAACCCCCTGCTACAATCCCTGAGGGGTTTATGTGGATTTTTTGTCCACATATATCCCTTATTAATAACGACGTAAACAGAATCCACTAGGAGATTCAGTTGAATTAAAGTAAAAAGGGTAATTAAGCAATAGAGCGCCATGTGAAAGAGTTTGTCCAGGGTAGTATTGCCACGTTACCTATTTCCGCCGCCAAGCAGTAATCTCAGCATTACTGTGTTCCGGTTTTGAAGGGTAAAGGTGCTGGTGATTTTACAGGCACATGGGACTTGTCAACTTACGTCTCAGGGTGACTCACGCAGTGGCAGTGCCACTCAGATCTTTGCGATTTTAGACTCTGACTGGCGCTGCAACTGTTATGGACAGGCGTGTAGCTTACCATCAGGCGCACGACAATACAACGTATTTACTTATTTTTAATTTACATTGTCTAGATCCCTTCGGGGTAGTGGTCGATGGAGCTACATTACTTTAAAAAAGAAGAAAGAAGAAACCAAATCGTTTTGAAAAAGATTTTTCTTTGTGTTTGTTTTGTTTTCTCATTGTTTGTCATTTGTAGTAGAAGAATTCTAATGTTCCTTAATTATTCAGATGTACCTTACCTAATTTGTAAATTTTCTTGAAACCAGTAGTTGAAACTTGAAACTGAGATATTTATATTGTAATTATGATATTTATTATTCTGCTAAAATCTAGTTGCAA